CATTCACTCAAATACTCTCTAGTATACATCTCCCCTTTGCTTCCTGGGTTTCCTCATGTGAGTATGCTTCTTAACGTGCAGTGCTACACACACACACAAACACACACACACACACACACACACACACACACACACACACACACATACTAATTTTACCTATACTGGTTCTTTTGAGTAAAGTATACTACAGCCAAATCCAGATTGCAGCTGTGGGTTTCATTTCATTAAGTCTCAATAATATCTGAGGTCAGAATTGCCTCTCTGTTTTAGGATCTCCAAAGCAAGACCTTGATCTTTTCAATTTTAGATTATTGCAGATCTGCTCTTTACCCTGTATAATCCATCTCTTGCACTGATAAAATACTCTTCTACTGAAAAACCTTCCATGGCTGTATGTTGCCTATAGCAGTAGTGTTTAACTCAAAAAGAAAGGGGCCCACTAAACCATATATGAGGATTCCTGTGGGCTGAATGACTTAGAAAACTGCATATTAATGTTATGTATGTTCTATTGCATGTTCATTTCTTTTGTTAAATATTTCCCAATTACATTTGAATCAGGTTCTGAGAGCAATGGGGGCTTGACACCGTGGGCCTACAGAAAACACAAACTCTTGTCTTTGGCCTTTGAGGTTCTCACACCTTGGCTATACCCTACTATACATCCTTACATACTTTATGTACTTATAGCAGCTAAGGGCATCTGGAGTCAGGAAGACCTGAATTCAGATTTGGCCTTAAACACTTACTAGCTGTATGACTTTGGGCAAATCATTTAACCTCTGTTTGCCTCAGTTTCCTCAACTGTAAAATGGGAATAATAACACCTGCCTCCCACAGTTCTTGTGAAGATCAAATGAGATATTTGAAAAAAGTGCTTAGCAAAGTACCTGACACATAGTAGGCCCTTAATAAGTGCTTATTCTCTTTCCTTTCACTTATCTCATACTGTTCCCCTTTACATATTCTATATTCTAGCCAAACTAGGCTCTTTCTTCCAGTTATTTTCCTGCCCTCTCCCATCAGGCCCTATGCCTGATTCCTACCTGTTTTCTGTCTGTTAAAATCCTTTCCTTCTTCAAAGGTCCTACTCAGCTGCCTCTTTGATGAAGCCTTCCCTTAGATTGCTTTATATAGTTGCCTATCAGTAAAGAGTGAAGATAACTTGGATCTTTTCATAGCACTTTGCTTAAATCATTCCTTTGTGTCTTATCACTCTATCCTTTCTATCACTGTTACATCACTGCATGTGGGTCTTTGCCCTTTTTTAAATAGTAAGCTCCTTAAGGCCAAGTTCTGTGGGATAGGTTTTATGGGATAGGTATATTCAACACCTACTACTATACTTTGCATGGTAGGCATTTACAAACGTTGGTTGATTAAAGCATAACTTTAGTGAAGTTCTCGACTACATCAGCTGGAATTTTACGTCAGATTAACTCTCACAATTCGTAGTTTGGTTGTACAGTGCAAGAAATTCTCTGCATGTTCTTATTTTGTTTCTCAAACTATTCAAATGACCTCAAATCTAGAAGCAGGGATCTGTTGATGCACTGTCTGATCCAGTATAGAAATAGCTTGATTAAATTTAATTGTACTGTGACATTAACCTAAAGTACCTGTGCCTGGGTGAAAGTGAAAATCAACACTTTTCCTAAATTAACCCCCAAAGCAAAACACAGAGGATCCCATAGACAATGACTGCTTTAAAAATGAAGTTGTGGACTAAAAAACTTACCTGGGAGACTGCTAAGAAGAGAAATTGTCTTTGTTGAAAAGAATACTGAAGGTTCTTTACCTCACTATTGTAGCATGCAACAAAATTCCTACAGGCCTAACTTCACATTGAAATAGTGAAATATCAAGAATCAATATATTTGCTTCAGTTATTTTTTAGTATGATTTGTTGGTGGTGATGCCTGGCTAAATTAGAGTCACTCACTGTAGCAATTGGAGTGAATGTTTGCTGAAAAAACTTTAAAAATTAATAAGAGGCTTGATCAGTTTCTCCTACCTGTTTCATTTCTTTCATTTGTCATCAAATCTCTGTCCAAATGAGTGATTGTACGGTATTAAGTGTCCCTACCTGAAAGGGGAAAATAAAAGCCATGCATAAGATTTAGAAGCTTAAAGGTGATTTATTAAAGGATATTCTTTACAGTCAGCCGGAAATAGGAGTGGTATGCTATAGGACTCCAAATTGACATCCAGACCGTAACAGTTCCAAAAATGGCTTGTCTTCCTTCCTTTTTCCTTAAGAAAAGTCCCTTCTCTGACATGTTGTAGATTCTAGTTCTAGGTTCTACGATAATGATTAATTGAGAGCAAGATATTACCTGTAATTACCTGTACCTCCATCTACAGATCTATGGGATCTCTGAGCATAGTAATTGGTTGAGGGGAATGAGAGTATAGAACTATAACATTTCCTGATTTATTCAAGGTGAACTAAGAAAGGGGATATACAGGGTCTTTCTCCATGATGTCAGTTGCTATGTAGAATCTAAGTCCCATATTTAAGAAGTTAACATTGAGAAAAGGAGAAACCATTTTTACCCAATTTTAGGGTAAAAGTGAATAACAAGAATCAACACTTATGGAACACATGACGATTATCTGGCAAGTACCAGAGAATGGCCTTGGGTTGTTCTTTCAAATGATAAATCAAAGGTCTTATCAAATCGTTCATGAGGATGTCTTTCTATCTTGGGATACTGTGTACGAAATACTAACTCTGATTATATAGGACAGGGGAGAATAAACTTCCAGTATATTAAAGACCCCAACAAAGTCTTATTTATTAATATTATTGTTTGACCTTCATTTTCAAAAAGAACCAATGACATCATGGGGTGATGGTTTGTGTGTGAATTGGACTGAAGTGAGTCAGAGCTGCACAAAGTCATCAGCCTCACTCTGTCTTCCTGAGTCATCCAAGTCCAGTGGCAAGGACAAAAGACAGGATGCCTGGCTGTGGCCCTGGATACAGTGGATGACCCTGACATCTTTGATGTCTGACCAAGCTCTAAGCACTCCACAGTGCCCGCTTCAGCCACCTTCATGGCTATTGGAGCAAATTGTTTTCATCCACCCATTCTGCCAGGGAAGTCTTCACGTGCTTGGGGTAGACACTAATGGGTTTGAGGCCTGTCAGTCACCCTCAGTCTGGTTTAGCCTGTCTGCAGAGACAGTTTTAACAGGTTGTGGCCTATGCCCTTGCTACAGGTAAGTGCTGGGTGACTGCTAGTCCTCCCTGAACGCCCCTTATGCCCCATTTACTTATTTACTAATGTAGTTTTATATAAACATATATAGATATAATCTTTAGCAAGCAATGTTGATTCATTTACTTTCCTCAGAGTGAGAAAGACTAGCACTTGGTGATACAAAATTCTACAAAGCAAGACAGTGTCTTTATACGAAGGGGCATAAAACTATTTTTTGTTTAGTCGTTTTCAGTCATGTTTGACTCTTCATGACCCTGTTTGGGATTTTCTTGGCAAAGATACTGGAGTAGTTTGTTTTTTTTTCCTTTTCCAGCTCATTTGACAGATGATAAAAGTGAGGCAAACAGGGGCAAGTGACTGGCCCACGGTCACACAGCTAGTAAGTATCTGAGGCCACATTTGAACTCAGGTCGTCCTGACTCCCATAACTCTATCCACTTTGCCACTTTGCTGCCCCACTAATAAAACTATAGAGGTCAAATATTATAGAAAGCATTTGTAGCAGTTAAGGTTTCATAGGCCCCACCACACTAGGACAGGAGAGAACTTTCTAGTTTTTACCATCCAATACCTTTACCAGGGTGAGATAAGAATAAGAGATAGCTCTGTAATTCATCTCAATTTAAAATATATATATACACATACATATATATACATATATATGTATGTGTGTATACACACACACATACACATACACACACCCACATATATATATAAAGGTCTGTCAGCAATAAGGTTGCAATTACTCAGTTAATCCAAATCCTCACTAAGCCATGATATTCAAGTGACAGCAAAACAAACTTACCGTGATTTAGAAAAACAAACAACTTCTAGGAGATGCTTTAGGAGCAGTGCAATTTGTCCCAATCTCCACATTTACAAAGTCTGGTAACTGATATAATGCAGAAGCATTGCAAGATAATAAATTGCACCTTCCCCTCCCCCCAAAAAAGATTCAAATATGCTCATTATATTGAACTTGCCAGTCTATGAAAATAAGAGGATGATGACAGATAGGTTACAACAATGCATCAGTGAGGAGAATTTCCACACCGAGAGTTGTGAAAATGCCAATGAAATGCTAGCTCATGACAGTGCAGTTTATTCTGATTTTTTTCTATCTGTTTTAGTAATTTAAATTACAGTTATAATGTTGTATATTACATTTGAATGAGAAACTGCATTTATAAAGCTTATTTTCATTTCAAGTATTTTGTAATCAAATATCTATTATAAAAAAAGAGTTCTACCCATTTTCATCTACTTTATAGTGTAAATGTCTATCCATGTCTCCATTTTATTATATTGTATACAACACACATGCCTGAATTGGCTAGTACCTGTAAGTTTACCTGAGGAACTTTGAGATTTTTCCTGTACTTAAATGTTTAATATAATTTTCTATCTCTTTTTAAGAATGTGTGGCATTTTCTCTTCTTAAATACTAAGATGATGAATATTCAGTATAGATTCCATATGAAAGAGATCATTTCTGTAGTCCATTTTGCCACAACCAAGTATTTGCTGTATAAGTGTTTATCACCAGAGATGTCAGTTTGCATTTTCTTGTTGCTTAGGGGATGCATTGTGGATTTTTTTTTTTTTGCAAGTAAAGCTAGGCATTTTATAGCGTTTGGAAAGTTTTATGTTTCTTTGACATACATTTACTGGTTCTCATTAAGAGCACTTTGTGTAATTGAATTGTATACATTAACATTATGGTTAGCAACCAACTGGTGATTTATTAATGAGCTCTTTCTGTAATTTTTTCAGGCTCCAAGAATGCTAAAAGTAATTGGCCCTGAAGGTATTTTGAATAAGTTTTTATTTGTTTTGAATGAAAAACATTGTTTAGAAACATTTGAATGATTTAATGTTTATACTTGTATAGCTATATTTTCAATCCATTCATTTTCTTCTACTGAAGCCCTACTGTGATGTCTCTTATTGGTATGAAGGTGACTGTATGTAGGTTCTCAAACGCTTATGCCAGCATTCATTCATTCATTCATTCATTCATTCATTTATTCAACAAGCAGTAAAAGACAAAAAACAAACAGATCTTGACTTTGAGAAGTTTATTATATGGTATTAGCAGACACAATATCTGGTTGATTCTACTGAGATGGAAAAGTTTCAAGCATGGACTTAGTGATAGACTGGACTATGTTATTGCCTGAGGAGCAGCCTAGAAAAGTTCAAGGAGACTGGTTACTAGGTTGACTACAGAGTGATTAATTTTTTTTTTTAGCAGCAACTCTCAAAGACCATCTACTAAGTTACAGGGGGGGCTGTGTAGTGTATCAGTAGAGGAAGTACCCCCTGACAAAATTATAGCTTCTTGAAATGTTAAAATAAGTTATAACTGATATCATATTACATTATAAATTATAATTATATTCTCTTATAAGTTATCCAATAAGTGAACACTGCATTTTTTTTATAACTTCTTAACATTATTACTCTGTATTTTTAAAAATGTTCTACACTTCCTCTCATTTTAAAACCAAGACCTTTATTTTTCTAAAACTAGTAATAGTAGTGGAAGGGAAGGGGTTTCCCTTCTCTATTAGTTGATATAGTCATACATGATGCGATTTTGATGTATAAACAAGGTGGGTGCATCTATGACCTGATCCTTTTATGAAGTATGACCACTTTTCTGATTAGGTCAAGAAGAGAATACCTGAAAAAGCAGAATTACTTTTAAATAGATGAGTTTATGAGTCTGAAAGTTCAAAGCTGTTGTGGAGAAGGCTCCTTAAGGGGCCTTAAGGGAGGGGAATGGATTTTCTCTTCTCTATCCCCCATCATCCATCCTATGAGAACTACTGGAGCAGAGAGGGAGCAGAGACATACACACTCCTGATAGATTTCAGGTACAGAGAGACAGGCACCCAACATTGAAAATAGATTCAAGAAGCATGATTGCCGGCAATCAGGAGTGAGGCTGTGGAGCAGAGCAGACCCTGGGAATTCAATGTAAGGATTCTGCAAAGCGAGAAAGAACTTGTAGGCTACATGGTACTAGGAGTTGCCTTTGCCACATGTGTATCCTACATATACTTTCATTCCTGCCTTCCATGTCACTCCAAGTGTGAACCTACTCTTTCTATGGATGTGTATTTACGAAAGTGTGGTCCAGGTTTATAGGGTGGGTTGGAGCGGAGGTGGGAAGGGGGTGTTTTATACATACTCTTTGTACTATGGTATCTTAGTAAATGCTAGAAGCTAATTGTGTCTGTTGTTAATGGGAAGCACACTAGTAAGGACTTACTAGCTTTCATGGTAGGAATACAGCCCCACAGGGTACCCCTGGAACCTAAGGTAGCAACTACCTTCTTGGGACTCAACTTGCAAGTTTAAGTTGGGGGAAGTAACCCAGAGGATTTCTTAAAGTATTGTTAAAGATTTTTGGTTGAAGATTCTTCCAGAGGAAAGCTTGCTCATGAAATTATTAAACTTTTTCATTTTTTCCAGGCTCAAAGTAGCAGTAGAATTATATTGTAGGACATAACTATTAAAATTGTCAGCAAATTTGAAATAATAAACTGTTCGATGGAGAGACCTTAGGGCAGGGGTTTTTAACCTGGGGTCCATGAACTTATTTTAAAAAATATTTTGATAATTATTTCACCATAATTGTTTTACTTTGATATCTCATATATTTTAGCTTAAAAACATTATTCTGAGAAGGGGTCCATAGATTTCACCAGACTACCAAAGGAGCCTGTGGCACAAAAGGGAATCTATTCTGATAATTCTCTTACTTTAAAGATAAGGAAGCTGGGGCCCAGAGGGACTTGTCCAAGGCCCTGTGACTGGTTGGTGGAGCTGGAGCTAGTAACTCTCCTGCCTTTCAAGCCAATGGTGTTTTTACTACATCTCACTCAGGCACATAAAAGGTCAGATTAGGAAGGTAGGTTCAGGCAGACAGGGAAGGTCCCAGGGAGATAAGGAAAGAAAAGATAATCAACACACGTGAAAACATGAGGTTAGAAAAGCACAGGGACACAGAATTCTTAACATTTTGCTGCAGAAAAAATCATATTGTTTTTTATTCTAAAACAGGGGTCAGCCATTGCTTGAAAAGTGGTAGATAAAATTTTCTTCATAGAATCTGGACTAATGGAAAATGCCTTACCTTAATTTGAAAGATAAGAAAGTAATATTTAAAATAAAGTTACTATAGTTGCATTTTAAATTCAATTTTCTGATTTTTTATAAGTTGAAATTCAGATACACTAGAAAGTCTATTTCTATACCAATGTATGTTATAATAAGACATTTCAAAAGAGATAGTTGCTCTGCTGAAACTTGTTCCATTTCCACTTTCCCTATTAATATCCATCCTTTGGAAGTCTAGAAATAAACTTGGTTTAAGCACATCTGTTTTAAAATTGCCCTTTTTTGTTGCCTTAGTACCTTTTCTCTCTCTCTCTCTCTTTTCCACAAATTGTATATTCCCATGTCTAAGAAGAGTTTGTCTATCTGTTAAAGCCAGTCTCATCTAAGTAACCTTTTAGGTAACCTTTAAATTTATGCCATTTCTCATTTTATATGGCAGGATTCTTAAATCCAGAAATTGGGTAGATATATGAACCTAGCCAATATCCTGAATTTAAAAAATATATCAAGCTTTTTCTTCCTATTTACTAACATAATTCTTCATCCATTAAGAAGGGGAAAAAACAACTTCATAAAGTGGTTTTCCCCAGCTGGGCAACTGCTGAATAAAACTTGGAGTAAATCTTGCCTTCTAATTTAAGTGGTTTTATTTCACATTATTCAAGGACTCACAGTTATGTGGTCAGTAAGTTGTTTCAATACCAACCCCCACCACTCAAATGGTCTCGTATTCCATTCATTTACTATGGGGTGTGAATTTGGTATTTACTCTATGTATTCTTTTCTCCCTTTTCTCCACTTCTATTTTTTTCTTGTCTTTTCTGTCTCCTGCTGCTTCTCCCATCTCTCTACCCAACCTTTTAGATTTTGTACCAAAAGACATCTATAGTCTTTGGTAGCCAGAGTGGTCTTTTCTTTGCAAATGACAAACTGACCACATCCCATCAGGTATAATCTTTGGGTCTTCACCATTTTGGGGTTATGTTTTATTTTGTTGTTTCTGGGTGTTGAAGGACTGCTTTGCCTCCAAATACTTTTTTGTGGAAAGGGATTTAATTTGGGGTTCTTAACTATTCTTAAAGACTATTATTACATAAGTCGAAATGCAAGATACCTGAGGGTTTACTAGGATTGGAACTGATGAAAAACTTCCCACCAAAAATTAATATTCCACTCTTAAGCTGTTAAATATGCTAAACATTACGGTAAAATGTTTTTAATTCAGATTTTTTATTAGTTTTAATTACTTTGAGAAAATAGAATTTTTAAATATTAAGATAAGGCAGCTCCATAGAATTCTTACTGTGCCTCAGCCTGTAAGGAAGTGACCTGGATTCTTAAAGATTCTGCCAGCAGAGTTATGATAAGTTCTCATAAATTTTAGGACCCTGGAAAGACTTCTAGTAAAATATTGACAGCTGTCCACTAAGTGGTGAATTGTCTTTTGCTTTAGTATGTAGGCTTTTTTGTATTTCAGTTAGTTTTTCTTTTATGTATTTATTTGCTGTGATATTTACTGTATATATATATATATATATATATATATATATATATATATATATATATATATATATATATATATATATATTTGCTATTGATATTATTTCATTATTTTTGGTGCCTTAAAACATATATTAGTTTCCGTGTATATCTTTTATGTCTTTGTTGAGGGCATCTATTTTTTTTTAACTGTTACTTTATCCAAAATCATAGCGACAACTGATGTCTTAAAATTCTGCTGAAGTATAATAGCTTTTATTTCAACCCCTTACTTTAAATGTATTTCTATGGTCTAACTGTTTGCAGTGTTTCTAGGTAATTTTCTTTGTATGATTTCCTAGAATATCTCTTTGGTTTATCATGTTTTCCAGGACAATGATAGCATTTGACTCTCTTGCCAAGTTCTGTTTTTAAGGTCAGTCTTTAATTTGATTTGTTGTTATTTGTTATTGTTAACATGAGTCTTCATGTGTTCTTCCAGTTTTGCTGGTTCAAATTTTTTCTAATATTTGTTCTTTCATTTGGAATTTTTAAAAGTTCCATCTGTCATCTTTTCCATAGGATCTATTGCTTAACATTTTTCCCCATTGTATGTTCTAAGCTATTGATCATTGTTTAATCTTCTTGTATTCTTCCATAAGAGGCTGTGTCACCATCCTTATGGTTGTTAGATCCTCCTTTATTTCTTTTATTGAGCTTCTAAATCACTCTGTAGGTTGTTATAGTTTTTTTGTTCTTTCTTCTGGGGTCCAGTTAATAGTTTTAAGTGGTTTTTCCCCTTTCTGGAGATTTCTTGCTCCTTTTATCTTGGTAAAATACTACTTCTTGCTTTATAGAGGCTCAATAGACATTAAATGATGGTGAAATTTATCTTATGGCATTTCCTACCTAGTCAGATTTTTTGGGTGCAGTTTAGCTTTTTTTTCATAATAATAAACATAACCCTAAAGTACAGCCAGACTTGTGGAAGAAAAAGGAAATTCAGAGAGAATTGAAACCAATGAAAGCACATTACAGGTATGAGAGCAGATTGGGGGTTGGGAGTGGTCTCCTCACCTATAGAGGAATGGTTTGCTGATTAAGACAAAAAATAAAAACTTCCAAGAGTTTTCCACAGATAGCAGTGGTGATCTTTCTGGTCATGTCATCTCAGGAGCTGGAAAGCTCCATGGCTTCTACCATGTTCATGCCTTCTTACCGGGCCAAATCCCGCAAGCTTACTGTCCAACCAGTTAGCCTTAGCAGTACAGAAGAATAACTGGGAGTAATATGTGTTGGTCCCAGAATTTGTCATGGACAAGATGCCAGGACCAGTGTACTTCAGGATTAAGTCCTCATCAGCGAATTTCTCTGTAAATGGACTTGCTTCCATTCCAGTGAAGTTATGGTATGTGAAATCACTATGCTGGCACATGGACCCAGAAATGATTCTGTGAAAGCAGAATCCCTTGTAACCAAATCCCTTCTCTCCAGTTTCTGCTGTCTTTGGAAACTTGTCTGAAAATGGCTCAAAAGTAACTTGAAACAAGAATTAGTTATTGACGGCAATATTGAAGTACATGATGGAATTGGCCTTAACCATGGATGGTTAAGCTAGGGGTGGTGGTGGAGGCAGTAAGGTTTGATGCCCAATGGATCACGTGAAACTGAGGGTTCCTTGTGGCAGCATCTGCAAAACCTCAGAGGGATTATTTCATAGTAAGAGGAGATGTAACAATGTTAAAACTCATAAGTCAGGTCTGAGTACCTATCGCTTCACTTTTGACTTAAGTGGAGATAATAGAGTTCCAAAATGGAATTACTTATGCCAAAAGAGGAAAAATATAAGACCCCCTCTCTCTGTCTTAATATTTTCTTCCCCCCCCAAATATTTATTCATTATGTTGACACTCGTGTTTTGCTTACTCACTTTTCTTGAGTCAAGTAGTTTTTCTTTGAAGTTTCCTTGGGAGGATTTTAATTGTTTATTGCAGTTGCAGTTTTGAAGTCATGAAGGGGATTGTTTTAGATACAACAACTCAGAAATCTAACTGGTTTTCCCAAACCCATCTTTTAAAAATCACTATTCTTCATGTGATATGACTACAAATCCTGGAATACCACAATCCTTGATTAATGAAAATTTCAAGGACAATGGAAAAATTCTTGATGGGCAGGGGACTTCAGGGGGGAATAGTAGAATAGGGTCTGTATCAATTCAGCTAACCAGGTTCTTTTGAGGGAATCACTCAGCATACTCTGCTGCAAGTGTTGAATCATTTTATAGCAATAATAAAGTATACATGTATATTTGAGTCACATCACCCAGATAATCAATTTAAGTCCCAGAATTCCCAGATTTGTAGCTTAACAGGTGGTTTGTCCAATCAGCAGGATTCTGAGCCATTCAGAAAAGCACCAAGAGTTTTGGTCCAATTCCCTTTTGTTGCACACCTCCATTATATTCTCAACAGAAGAAGAATTGTCCACAAGGTTAGCATTAGCTAATTAGATAATTTGTTGGAGTGGTAATTGGTCATTTTGCAAGGTGTTCTTACTTTGGGCTACATGTTCTTTGTGCTCATTCCTTATTAGATCATTAGCCAACATATGCAGGTATCTTTTTCTCAAATACTCAAATGGAGCTGTGAGCTCATTGATTAGAAATTTCCCTCCAATGGTGCAGATTGCAGTCCACCCATGCTTTCTCATCTGTAGGGTACCTTCACACCAAATTGGGTGGCCACCTTGCTGGAGGCCTTCTTCACTTTCTCTGAACATCTCCAGGGTACCTGTACAGGACTCTGTATATTGTTATCCCTCATTCTTGCCATGTCACCACACTTCTTTTCTCCCTGTCATATAATCCCTTAATGTTATCCCTTCTTCCTGTTCTTCAGAATTCCTCAATGGTTGTATGTTGGCAGCCTGGTCATACCCACCATGCATCTCTCTATTGCCATCTGTGTGCTATTTATCTTTCAGAGGCAGTTATTTTCCAAGTCTTCCTGCCAAATAATGACACTGGCAAAATGTTGCTTTTATTTTTTAAACATTTATGCATTCGTTCATTTATTTTGTCTATTTATTTAGATGGTCACTAAACAGCGTTATTTTGTTATTACATCTTCCAAAGAATCAGGAATGAGCTTGATGTATGGATGGGAGTAACTTTGCTTTAAAAGCGCTCATAAGATAGTGTGTAGTTCTACCAAATCAAATAATTTTTTTTGTAGTCCATAAGCACTAACCCAATGGGATCGTTTATTCATTAAATCTTTCAGCTAATTGTGATGTGATAAATATGTAGTCCATTTTTTAATATCACTTGTAAAACCCTGCTCATTCCCTTGGTATTAACATCATTGAGGATGCCTGTAATTCATAAACATTTTGCATAAAGTAGAGTAGGCATATAGGTTGGTAGTTATTGATGTCCTCTTGGTCACCTTTTTCAGTTTAACAAGGTATGAGATTTTTTTATACCTTTGGTATCTTCCTGTCCTTCATGTATCTTGTACACTGGTCCCTCACTACCCCCTGAGCTGTACTACCTCCAGCACAGTCATCTTCTATATATACTTGGTCCCATCGGGCAGCCATGTCTAGGCCAATGAAAAGAGTGGGGTTTACTCTAGGCAGCTGAATGGGTGTGTGCCTGAATCAAATAATATTTTGCTGAACGACAAGATGCTGTCCATGGGGTTTTCTTGGCAAAGATGCTGGACTGGTTTGCCATTTCCTTCTCCAGTGGATTAAGGCAAACAGAAGTTAAGTGATTTGCCTAGGGTCACACAGCTAGTAAGTGTCTGAGGCCTGATTTGAACTCAGGTCTTCCTGATTCCAGGCCCAGCTCTCTTTCCACTGAGCCACCTAGTTCCAGTCTTAATAACTGTTGCTTATTCCCACGCTATTGAGCTGCTATACCTGTTCCTCTTGATCTGCCAGGCCCCAGTAGGGGTGGATGAGTGTAGTAAGGGTGGGAGGGAAGAGAAAAGCTGTGAGTCAGTAAGGTGCTTGCCCTCCATTCACATCCTGTGAATCACTTGTGAATCCTTGTGCTCACACACAAGGTGAGAGCAGAGGATGGCTGTTCACGTGGCCTGGCCGTAAACCTACTTGTGGAAGAACATGGAGACTGTCTGGTACGGTCCACTTGGGGAACCAGCAGGGGAATGGAGAGCAACAGAGACAGGCTGTAGCTGAACATGCTGAACAGCCTTCCTGATCTCCTCAGCTTTAGTATTTACCTCCTATACTTATTGGGTTATTTTGTACACCACCTCAGGTGCACACACCTGAAATAAGTGTTTAAACTTTTTATTTGGTGTGCCAGACCATTTTTCAGTATGAAAGCAGTAAACGTCCTAGGCTATAAGTCAAAACATTAAACATAAAGTTGTTTCTTTTCTTTCCATTGATTGTTGTAAAATAATTTCATATGAATTACAGTAGAAACAGTCCATTTAGTGTATATGATAAAATAAGTACCCAAAAATATAATATATAAAGTATCACATGGAACTCTCAGCTAAATACAATATTAATTTAATTAAAAAATTAGAGATTCAAAAATTTTTTATCTTTTAGCTTAACTAGTTATGTTTTTGTTTTTAATTTGATTTCTCTACAGGTGAAGTGTTTTTGGAAGCTGACTTGAAAATTTCAGGGTAAGAAAAAATAATCCATATGACAAATTAATGTTTTAAGGCAATGGATGATATAGCGGGAGCAAGTTAGCACCAGGGGCAACTAGGTGGTACGGGAGATACAACACTAAGTCTCTGGAGTCAGGAAGGCCTGAGTTGAAATCCAACTTCACATACTTACTATCTGTGTGACCTTGGGTAGGTCACCTAACTTCTGTCAACCTCAGTTCCTACAATTGTACAATGAGGATAATAAGAGCACATACTTCCCAGGGTTGTTAGGATAAAATGAGGTAATAATTATAAAGCACTTGGCACAGTGCCTGACACATAGTAAGTGCTATGTAAATGTTAAGTTATAATAATAATAATAATAATTATTATTATTATTATTATTATGTTTTTAGGCTTGGAAAAGTTGCTTGGGCAAGTGGTTCAACAGAGCTGGTCAATATGTTGATGTTGTAGCATCTCCAGGTTATCTCAGATAATGTCAGAGGATATTCTTTTATGCTTGGGATCATTTGATTTGAGATTATTGTTCTAAATGCAGTGTAGTTTCCATACAGAGTCTAAAGAATGTACTATGGACTTCTGGTGATAGAGCCAAGATGGCAGAGTAGAGGAAGTACTCAGCCTAGCTCTCCCAACATTCCATTCCAAACAACTTTAAACAGTCCCTCAAATTAAATTATGGAGTGGCAGAACCAACGAAAGGTCAGGGTGAGACATCCTTCCAGCCCAAGACAACTTAGGAGGTTGAAAGGAGAGATCCATGACAGGGGGTAAGAGCTGGCCCAGAGCCCACATGGATGCAACACAGGTGGTGGGACTTGGTGATAGTGACAGAAGTGGCAGCAGCTTTGGGAGCTCTCAAGCAAGAGATGGTCAGGGGATCTGGCAACTGGTCTGAAAGATTACGGGGGCTCACTGTGCTAGCCCTGGACCCAGGACCAGACGCTGTCTGGCAACTCCACTGCCTATACCCACTTTCAGGTTACAGTTCAAGGGAGGAGAGGGAGCACTTCCCTTCACAATAGAGCAGGGCCCTGAGAAGCAATAATGCTCGGAGCTGCAAGGGATCAGGAACTCTTCCTGGGTAAAGACCAGAGCACAGACCAGGAGAGCAGTGACCATGCCTCTCCCCAGATGACACCACTTTGGAAGCACTAAAAACTTCCAGACCCTCAGAACTAACTCTGAAAACAGCAGTGTGAAAAAGCCTGAAGCTTGGGACAGTCCCCTACCTTCTCCCCTGCCCCTTCTCCCAGGTGAACAAAGCCCAATTTGAACATAAAGTTCAAAGTCAAGAAGTAAAGTAGAAAATGAGCAAACAAACAAAAAGAACCTGACCATAAAAAGCTACTGTTATGACAGAGAAGATGAAGACACAAACTCAGAAGACAATAATGTCAAAACAGCTATAAGCAAAGCCTCAAAGGGGAAAAAATGTGAATTGGACACAAGCCCAGCAAGAATTCCTAGAAGAACTAAAACTGATTTCAAAATCAAATCAGAGTGGTAGAGGAAAATTCAGGAAAAGAAATGAGAGCAATACAAAAAAATATGAAAAGACAATTAACAGTTCAGTAAAAGAGGCATAAAAAACTTGAAGAAAATGACACTTTAAAAAACAAAATTAGCCCAGTAGAAAAAGAGATATAAAAACTTATTTGATAAAAACAAATGCTTTAAAAGCAGAATTGGCCAAATGGAAAAAGTGGTACAAAAGCTCACTGAAGAAAAGAATTCCTTAAAAATTAGAATTGGGCAAGTGGAAGCTAATGACTCCATGAAACATGAAGCAACAATAAAATAAAGTTAAAAGAATGAAAAAAATAGAAGAAAATGTGAAATATCTCATTGGAAAAACAACTGACCTGAAAAATAGATTAAGCAGAGATAATTTGAGTTATTGGATTCCCCAAAAGCCAAAATCAAAAAAAGTCAATACATCATATTTCAAGGAATTGTAAACAAAAACTTCCCCAATATCCTAGAACCAGCAGGTTAGTAGAAATTAAGACTCCACCAATCACCACCTGAAAGAAATAGATACCAAAATGAAAACTCCCTATAATATTATAACCAAATTCCAGAGCCACCAGGTCATAGAGAAAATACTTCAAGCAGTCAGGAAGAAACCATTCATATACTGTGTGGCCACAATCAGGACCATACAAGATTTAGCAGCTACCACATTTAGCCCCCCGGTTTTCTCTCTAGAATTCAGCTCATTTCTATGGGTGGTTATCTACCTAAAAATTCATTAAAGACAAATTAAATTTCACAAAGAGAATCTGTGGGATAAATCATATGACCTAAAGAATAGATTGTCACTTGTTCAAATGCCCAGATTTTTTTCCCTGAAACTTAGTTTATTTCAAAAACACTTATCAAGCTCCTCTTATGTACCATCTCCTGTGAAGGCTACAAAGCTGAATGGAACACGATCCCTGCCTGAGTAGGTTTACACCAGAGGTATCAAACATGTATCCTGGCAGCCTTGAGGTCATTGAACCAGATGACAATATGTGGCCTGTTGGAATCCTTATATGTGGTTCGGTGGTATTCATTTCTGTTTGAGTTTGACATTACTGGTTTACACTGTTATAAGGGAGATTCCATTTATACATCTAACTATGACACAGAACAGAATGTGATATATGCTACCAGCACATTCCAGATTATTGTAGGGCTTCTGAGAGGTCATTTTCTGCTGGGCAGATCAGGAAAGGCTTCTTGGAGTAGATGACATTGGAGCGAGACTTAAAGGGATGGGTACAGTTTGGAAAGGTGGAAACAGGGAGAAAGGAGGTTCTGAGCATAGGGAATAACAATGAACAAAGTCATGAGTGTTTGGGGAGCAAGTAGTCCAGTTTGGTTGGAACATAATGCATGAATGGGAGAAGTGGAAAAGAATATAGAAAAAGTAATATTGTGATAAAACTTTAAGAGTTACAAAGCACTTTGTTCACATCAGTCCTGTGTGATAGATTTAGGACAGATTCTGAAGGACCTTAAATAGCAAGTGAAGGCCTTTGGACTCTCATCTTACAGACAATGAGGAGGCATTAAAGATTTTTAAGCAAGAGAGTATCAAAATCAAATCTGTGCTTTAATAAGATAATTCTGGCCTTAGTATATAGGATGGATTGAAATGAAGACACACTGGAAGTCAAGGGTCAAGATCCTAGCCTAGGCCACAGATAATGAGTTCTTGAACTCAGTAGTAGGCAATGACTCTGAGAGTATAGAAGTAGCATAAAATGGGCCAGGGGTAGGAAACCTGAGGCCTCAAGGCCACAGGTAGCCTTCTAGGTCCTCAAGTGTGGCCCTTTGACTGAATCCAAAGTTTGTCTAGCAGCTAGAGTGCCAGGTCCAAAGTCAGGAAGACTCAAATTCCTGATTTCAAATCTGGCCTCAGACACTTAGTAGCTGTATGACCCTGGGCAAGTCACTTAGCCCTGCGTGTCGCAGTTCCTCATCTGTAAAATGTGCTGGAGGACGAAATGGCAAACAACTCTAGTATCTTTGCCAAGAAAGCCCCAAATGGAGTTACAGAGAGTTGGACCTGACTGAAATGATTGAAAAACAACAACGAGAGTAAGGAAGTAGCATTCATGGTACAGGAGAACGCATTTAGTTTCAGGAAAAATGGAGAGAAAAGAGTCAAAATTGACTCCATAGCTTCCTGACTGGAGGATGGTGGTGACATTAACAGAGACATGGGGAAAAAAAGGCAGAGCAAATTTGCAAAGGTTGATGATCATGAATCCAGTTTTAAGTGTGTTAAATTTGAAGTGCTACACGGCACCCAGGTGAAGTACAGGAGGCAGATGGAAATGTAGATCTGGAGGTAGAGAAGTTGGGGCTAGAAATATAGACTTAGAAGTCATCCATGTAACACTAACCTGTAGACTAGGAAGGATGAAAGAGAGAGATTGTTTAGAGAAATTTGTGGGAAGAATTTAAAAGGAAATAACAAAATTACCTATAGGTGACATGCAGCTTAGGTTCTGAATTTTACATTCCAAAAAGTCCTGGATTTTTAGGGAAAAATGTTTAAGATGACATGTGGGTATAGGTCATGGTTTAGGAAAAACATATGAGGGCGCAGTGGATAGAGCTCTGGCCCTGGAGTCAGGAGGACCTGAGTTCAAATCCAGCCTCAGACACTTGACACTTACTAGCTATATGTCCCTGGGCAAGTCACTTAACCTTGATTACCTCACTAAAAAAAGAAAAAAGAAGAAAGAAAGAAAAACACATGAGCTTTTTGCCGTATAAGAAAAAGATGTTGCAAGCATTTATGGTTGTCTTCCCCTGTTAGAATGTAAACCCCTTGAAGGTAGGATCCATCTTTCTTTTTTGTTTGCATTTGTATCCCCAGCCATATCACAATACCTACAACATATTAAGCACTTGCTAAATGCTTGTTACCTGCTTGATTTTGCCCCAATCAAACCACTGAGTAATGTAAGCAAGGCGGAAAATAAATAGTATAATTGGATAACCATCAAACCAAAAAATGAATACAAAAATAGTCTAACTTGTACCTATCTAGGCATTAACAAACATGTGAAAGCCAAGTAAAGTAATGGGGGAAAAATAGGAATGGTTGTTGTCTAGTGTCAATCCATGCTACAGAGCAGCAAGTACCAAAACTATTTGGTTGAAAAACAGAAAAAGTGATCAGTTGAACAGATCAGGTAAACAAAGCCCAGAAACAATTGAACATAGTTATGAGGTAGAAAAGAGTGCTTGAGGCAGATGGAGCAAGCAGGCCATGAGATAGGAGAGAGAATGCAGGATGTGACCAGCCAGAAAAGTGATCAAAGGAGACTATGCATTGAAGCCCCCACCTGGACTTATCTGTGTGCTTTCACAAAGCATCCTCGATTCCAGAACAATTCTTCCCCTCCCCTTCCCTGTTGGCTTTGCTTATCACCTGATATCCCAGGCATTTTGGAGCCGTGCTTGCTCCTCCCATTCTCTTGTCCCCTTCCTTTTATTCCATAAAATTGTATTTAAGCCATACCTTTGACCTGGCTAACTGCCTTTGCCTCCTATGGGAAGCAGGGGCCGCTCTGTGGCCTATGCTCTGCCTCCCACATGGTGTAGAGCCCACTGGGGCTCTGCTTCACAGGGAACAGGCCCTCATGGGTCCTCCCCCAAGGTGGTCCAAGTGAATTCTTTCAGGACACACTAGGACCCACACATCTATTCCTCATCATTTCAGGTATCACTCCAATATTTTTGGCATTCACCTTGAACTTATCACCAATGGCTACAGAGAAAGTCTAAGTGAATTCTTTCACACCTGAACCAGCTCTCCCAACTCTAAACCTCAACAACAGTAGCATAATGTTAAGTAAATCTAACAATAACAGCTACTAAGATAAAGACCACTTATTATCTGACCAAAACTGTTGGGAAAACTTGAAAGCAGCCTAGCAGAAATTAAGTTTAGATCAACATTCACATTATATATCATAATGAGCTCCAGATGGATGCATGACCTGTATCTATAGAAGGTCACATCATTAAAAAATTGAAGAATAAGGGAAGAAGATACATTCCACAACTATAAGGAGCAAAATTTTTAACTAAACATGGAATAGAGATTCTGACCCTGTCCCTTACTTTCTGGATTTCAAAACCATCCCTCTTCTACAATCTCATCCTTGAACTTCCCCTAGTGCTGGGCCCTGCTCATCTTAGAACATCCTATCACCCCTGCAGCCTACTTACCTTGGAACACCCCTGCATAAGGCCAGACTCCATTTTGTGAAAGGGCCCAGGCTGACCTGCTTCCATTTTCCTCCAAGCCCTGTTCCTCATCTTCCTGATTTCATAATCATGCTTCCTTGCCAGGTACCTTCTTCTCCAGTCCTTCCCTCATCCTCCTCAGCTCCTTTCCTTTATTAGAATGGAAGCTCCTTGAGGGCAGGGACTCTTTGTATGTGTATCCCAGTGCTTAGCACTGTGCCTTTCACATCGTGCTTAATGTTTGTTTCCTTTCTGCCTAATAAAAGACAAAATGGGCAATTTTGGTTACATAAAACTGAAAAACTTTTGCACAAACAAAATTAATGCAATAAAATGTGAGGGGGAAACTTGTTAATTGGGGAAAATGTTCATAGTAAACTTTTCTGATAAAAGTCTTAATATCCAAATGATATTGGTAATTAAGACAAATTTAAAATAATAGGAACCATTTAGCAGGAGATAACTAATTAAAGGATACAAACAGATAATTCTCAAATTTTAAAATGCAGGCTATCAATGCTACATATAAGAGTGCCCCATATCAGTAAATAGAGAAATGGAAGTTAAAATAACTCTGAGGTTCTTTTACCCTTCAAATTGGCAAAGATGGCAAAAGAAGACTTTTTGTAAGGGGTATAGGAGGACAGGCACTAATGAACTGTTGGTAAAGCTGGGAATTTGTTCAACTCTTCTGGAAAGTAATGAGATCTTTATCCCAAAAGTTACTAAACTCAGCAATAGCACTATTAGGCACATGTCCCATAAAGATGAAAGAATCTATGTACAAAAATATTTATAGCAGCACTTTTTGTTGTTAAAAAAAAAACTAGAAACAAAGTGGTTACCTATGAGTTGACGAATGGCTGAACAAATTGTGGTACGCTACATTAATGAAAATGAAAATTATTGAGCCATAAGAAATTGAAAGTCTGGTGGGAAGCCTTGAATGAACCAATGCTGAGTGAAGCAAATAAAATACGGATCACAGTTTACGTGACTGCAGTGATGTAAAGGAAAGCAACTTGGATAAATTTCAAAATTCTAATTGATGAAGTATCCTGTTGACTCAGAAGATTGATGATGAAGAGTGTTTTCCCCTTCTTGGAGGAGGAATGATGGAGAAGAGGTGTGGAAAACAGACCTAGATTTGGAGATGTAGCCAATGTGATTTGTTTTACTTGACTATGTTTAGGAGAATTTAATGGGTGATGAATGCAATACAAAAAGAAGGGAAAAAGGAGAGAAGAAGCTCAGTTAAACATTTAAAAATACACAAAAGAGAAGAAGGAAGTTTACATGGGGCACAGCTAGGTATGCCATTGTGTTACTATAATGTTAAATTTAATATGTATTTAAATATGTTTAAATATTTAGCATATAGTAATTAATAGATTAATTAAAGATAATTATATTTATATTTGTGTATAATTACATGAAATATATTTTATGTAGTAATTGATATAATCCATATTAAATATGTTAATATTTTATGTATTTTTAGAGGTAACAAATTCTTCATTTCAGTCATAATTCTCTGTTTTTAAAAAATATTCATGTTAAGTTCATAATAAGTTATAATTTTTAAAACACATTGTCAAACCTGTGTAAGGCAAGAATTATTTTTCTTAAATATTTTTGCTGGAGGAGAGCAATATATATTTCTTGCACGTGCTTACTTCTAACTTGGTTAAAGAATATTGGATTTTTTTTAAAAGTCCCACTTCTAGTTCATATAGTAATAATTTTTTCCTACAAGTCTAGGAAAGACTTATACAAATTGAATTGTACATATTATACTATAATAGCATTATTAAGGGGCAGCACATTCTCTGCTTTGTTCTTTGGGGGAATACAGTGGGGGTGTATACAAGAACATTGTGAATATGAGCCGAACTCACGTTTTTTTAGGTTACAATCAGTGGGGAAGAGAGGAAAAGGAAATTCATAGGGGGAAAGAAAGGAGATTTTCTGTTTGTCTTTGGATGTTAAAATCTCAGGGCCTTAAAGTTTATGAAGAGCAGCTAGGTGGCACAGTACACACAGCATTAGGCCTGGAGTCAGGAAGACCTAGGTTCAGATCCAGCCTCAGACACTTACTAGGTGTGTGACCCTTGACAAGTCACTTAACCCTGTTTGCTTCAATTTCCTCATCTGTAAAATATGTTGGAGAAGGAAATGGCAAACCACTCCAGTATCTTTGCCAAGAAAAGCCCAAATAGGGTCACGGAGAGTAGGACATGACTGAAAAACAACAAAAAGTTTATAAGCTGAGTCAACATTGTATAACATCATAAGGAAGGGTAGATAAGATTAGAGGTTATCCCTTCTGTCTCTTTTTTCCAGGCAAAGTCTCAGCTGAAGCTCTTTTCTTATCACTGAAGAGGTTATCAGTGTCTCTTGAGGCATTTTACAACATTTTTAACCCAAGAGGATGTAGCTTGAACAGACTAAAATTAATATAATTGTATTGGAAGTAATCAGTACCGACCATGAATTCAAATCAATTCAGCAAACATTTATGAAGTCTTTCCTGTGTGACAGGCATTGTGTTACTCACTAGTATACAAAGATGAAAACTCTCTGGACCCTGCCTTGAAGGAGTTTACATCCCACTGAGTAGGGAGGGAGTGGAGAATAGCATGTCAGCATGCAAAGAAATGTGAAATAATAGTGGGAGGGGGAAGAGCCAGACCTTACAAAGGCATCAGCTGGGTGACAGTAAGCAGGATGCTTAAACCTTGCAGAGCCTTAATCTCCTCCTCATAGGTTGTGCTACATGACTGAATGCTAAGATTCGTTCCAACTCTAAATCAATGATGCTGTGATCTGTAAAATGGGCATCATAATTCTTGTATGGTCTACACCAATGGCTGGTGAGAGTTATATGAGTTAATGGATGTGAAGATTTTTTTGGAAACTTTAAAAAACTAATAAAAGTTATTATGAATAAGGATATACTCAGTATCTTATAGATAAAAAGATATTTTGTTTTCCTTTTAAATATGTTCTAATGACTAGATAATTATGGAATATTCTTTTAAAATATTTTATTTTCTAGGCGGAATTGTTTAGACAGACCAGAAACTACTAAGGTAAGAAGAAACTTTTGTAGGCTATTCTTTAGAGTGCTTCATGGTCATCTGGTCATGTATGTGTACATATGCATGTTTTTTACTTTATTAAAACAAGGCGTTTTAGTTTATCTGTTAGAAATGTTTATTTAAAGGATCTGAGTAAATATTTTTAAATATCCCAAACTGAAATAATGAGGAAAATGTTTATCTCTTTTTCTGTTTTAGGAACCAAAGGATAGACACTATGGCAAATTGCAGGTGCTTGATCCAAATGGTAAATAATTCATTACTTTAACAAGAATATATTTGTAATAACTATCAGTTTATCATAATTATTAAGGAGAAATATCACAAAATGGCTGGCTATGTAACTAAGTAGCTTTAGTAATACAGTTCTTTATTACAGTATCTTTATTTCAGAAAATAAAGGCTAAAATGTTTGGTAATCAGAATTTACATCAAGGGAACCAACATTTAAGATACTGAGGCTATTTAACTTGTTTTTCAGAAGAAGTGGTTATTGAACCAGCTGAAGCAATGTCACGGTAAGGAGATGTCTTTGGTTGTGCAGCTGATCTATTACATGCCTCTTAAGCAATTAAAACGAGATAATGCAATCATTTCTCACTCAATTAAATTTGAAAGACCGGAAATGCATGGATTAGCACTTTAGCCTTTACTTCAGTTAGTACAATTGTTACTTAGATTGAAGGGCATTAAAAATGGAAAAGTAGATATTGATAAAAATTGTATAAGATATATATTGGAGAAAACATTCGTTTCAGCCTTGTAAATGTTATAATGCTGAATATTTTATGATTATTTTTATGTTTATTTAACTTATCACAAAAATAGCATTTACTATTCATTCTCCAATCCCTTTTGGTATTTCATGATTCTTTCAGGACGTATGTGTAAGGGAATCTTTGGTGTTTAAAATAAAATTGACTTAATATTTACTAATACCCTACTAGTTATAGCTTCTCAAAATAAAAATTACCACCAAATGTTAGTCAAAATAAATTGAGACAATGTTGAAAATAGCTATAATAGTAGAACAATTTGTTAAAATTATTACAGATCTCTGTTCAGCCACCAAAATAGAGGTGGAAACAAAATACATGCTTCCTGCCAATTTTGATTTCGAAGAAAAATTGTAAAGGAAATGGTGATCTATTCATTTAGAAACATTGTATCCAGCATGTTTTATAAGGTTCTGTTCCTGATTAACTGGTGTTTATTTATTGTAGAATTCCATCTGATCTTATTTCAACCAATAATAAAAATAAAATAAATTCTACCATTTGACTTTTTTTCAATTTTCCAAATACCAGACTGATCTTATTTTAACCAATGTGGAAAAAATAAAATAAATTTTACCTTTTAACTTTTTATAATTAATGTTTAGGCAAAGTATACTTTGGGTTTTTCAGTGTTGAAGCTATAGCTCAGGTTACATTTCTTCTGTGCCTGGAATATTCTCTCTGTCTCTGCCTCTGTCCCTGTCCCTCTGTCTCTCTCTCTCTCTCTCTCTCTGTCTTCCACCTCTTTGTTTCCCTGACATTTTTAAGACTTATCTCAAATTACACCTATTGTAGGAAGCCTTTCCTAGTCCTCCCAAGTGTTGTCTCGCCCATTAAAATTTTAGCCTCTGGAGCTCAGGAACTGTTTTTGTCTTCCTTTGCAACCCCAGCACTTGACATAGTCAAACCTACACTTTAGGAAATTGCTTTAGTAGTTGTGTGGAGGATGGTTTGGAGTTGGGAGAGATAAGTCAGAGGCCAATTAAAGAAGCTATTGCAGTAGTCCAGGCAGGGTGGCAACATGAGTGCAGAGAAAGGCATTGTATAGAAGAGATGTTGATGGGACTTGGCAGTAGATTGTATTTGTGGGTCAAGTGTGAGCAAGGAGTCCGGGATGATAGCAAGGTTGTGAGCTTAGGTGACTGCGAGAGGATGTTAGTGTCCTTAACAATTATGGGAAAGTTGGGAAGAGGGGAGGGCTTGGGGTAAAAGACAGTGAATTCTGTTTTGGACATGTTGAGTTTTTGATGTCCACAGGACATACAATTCAAAATAGCCAAAGCAAATTGTTGATACATGACTAGACTTCAAGAGAGAGACTAGGGTTGTGTGTGTAGACTTGGGAAAATTTGCATAGAGATGATCATTAAATCCATAGAAACTGATGAGGTCACCAAGTGACAGTGTGTTGAGAAAGAATAGACAAAAAGTCCAAGATAGAGCCTTGGGGCATATGACAATTTAAGGGACATGATGTGGATGATGAAGTAGGAGATCCCAGAGAGAATAATACCAAGAAGACTCAGAGATGACAAAGTACATAGGAGGAGAGGGTGGTCAGAAGTGACAAATGAGATAGAGGGGCCAGGGAATATGACAATTGAGAAAATACTGATCCTATTCCAATTGTCCTGCTTCCCAAGTTGCAAAGAACATATACAACGCTGTTCTGTGGAAAACTAAGTTTTTTCATTCCAAATTGATTTGCAAGGAAACTGTGAGAATATGGCTTACTTGTTATTGGTGGCCTATGCATTGGAAATGTGTTTCCAGAGTCTGCAGAGAGTTAACATAATACAATGGAAAGAATGCTGAACTTGGAGTTCGAAATCTGGGTTTGGCTCCCAGCTCTGATTTTCTGATAGCTATAGGACCATTGCCAAGAGATTTAAGCACTCCGAATCTCAGTTTACTCATCTGTAAAATGAGGGGAAAAAAACTTGTACTACCTATTTTATGGAAATGTAAGGAAAACACTGTGCAAACATTAAAGTGGCATATAAATGTGAACTGTTCCCTCTAAAATGATCATTTATCTATGGGCCTGTAGTTGGTTTCACTAAGAAAAATAAGTGTTTGTTTCCCATAGGAGCCAAGAGCAAAAGACCACTGCCCTTCCCAACATGTTGTTGTAAACTTCTCCACAGGATGGGATGTTCTTATGTGACATTGACTGCATTAGGCATTGTAAGCTTAGCGTGGTGGCCAGGAGCACACCCAGTTCTGTAAGCCTACCTTATTGTAAGGGTGACTCAAGCTGCTTTCAGGAGCATTCCACTTGTGGTCCCACAGGCCCACCTGCACAAGTGCAGTCTGACTACTGTTCCAAGGACACAGTTCAGCTATTGGGAAAGATAGGAGGAAATGAACTCGCCATTTCCATTTGTTGAACTCTAACTCTGCATTCTGGGGCAGCCAGGTGGCTGAGTAGATAGAGCACCAGGCCTTGAGTCAAGAAGGCCCGAATTAAAATCTGACTTCAAACACTTAGTAGCTGTGTGATCCTGGGCAAGTCAGTTTACCCTGTTTGCCTCAATTTCCTCATCTGTAAAATGAAGTGCAGGAGGAAATGGCAAGCCACTCCAGAATCTTTGCTAAGAAAACTCCAAATGGGGTCATGAGGAGTCAGACACAGCTAAAACAACTGTATAACAACAAATATGTAATTTAACAGGATTTTTCAAGAAGGTAACTTTCTTCCTAGAACTAGAACATCTTATTTCAGGAGCTACTATGTGAAGAAGCAGCATGATAATCCAGTGTAACAGAGATTCAGGAAACACGGGTTCTAGCCCTGGCTGTACCATTAATTAGCTATGTATGTGACCTTAAACAAAATAAGTTAATCTGTCTATACCTGAGTTTTATCACTATAAAATGAGAGCGTTAACCCTTTTGCCCTTACTGCTTCTAAGATTCAGTTTATTGAATATTTCAGAAGTGTAAGAGATGGAACTCTGTGTTAAATGGTTATTTCTCCTAAGACTATTAATAATTACGTATTAAAAACTAGTTTTTTTAAAAATGTATGTATTTCATAATCAGTAATTACTTGATTACAAATAATTTTATTTCTTTCATCAATGTGGAAATTCACCCTACTGATAGAACTCTGTGATTTTTATAATCTTAGCAAGTTGTCTGGGATGTTGAGACATTAAGTGACTTGCCCGGATCATACAGCTAGTGTGTGTTAAAGGCAAGACTTTGAACCCCCATCTTCTAGACCCCAAAGCAATGTTTCTAACTGTCATTCTAGGTTGCTGCTGTACAACTAATTACATAAACTCTATGTGAAAAGAATATTCTATAGATTATTCCAGCTGTTAGAACAATGCATGAGAACCTTCAAGATAGAGTAAATATTTCTCTGCTTTGTAACTCCCAAGGAAAGTCATGCAGTAATGAAACCTGCTTATCAATCAATGAGGATCTCCCTTTTCTTTTGTTCAGTTAGATGTTAATTATCTTTGAAAAAAAAAGCCAGTCTCACTACCCCCAAAAAAACACCCTCGCAAGTGTTTTCAATCTATATCAAATAGCAGGTTGTTAGAGGTTTGTTTTTTCTTTTTAAGTGCCACGGTTTGGTCTAAGTGGCTATCTAAAACTGGACCAAATATAGTAATTCATAACCTCTATTACTTTATTATTCCAGAAATGAAGAATTTTTTAAAATTAATTTCATCATTTTACAGAAATTTTACACAATTGGTATATCTTAGATTATTACGTCTTGTGTAATTCTTTTCATGTAGAATTGTAGGCTCAGATTAAGTAGTAACAAAATTTTTCCAGTTCATATTAAATTTATTTCCAAATCAGATAGATTTCAATTTAAAACTTGGATAGCAGCAATGAAAATATCGATATATCTTGTTATTTATTAACATAATTATCTGCATTATACTTTGACTTCTAGTTGATTGACTTTTGGGTAGTCTTACAATTCTATTTAAGATAGAATAAAAAACACAATCTGACCAAAGCTGATGAACATTAAACTCCTTCTGTGAGAACTGAGAATTGTTTAATATGGGTAGTTATAAAATCATAGTTTTATAACATAATTTATCCCTATAGTAATGACAAACCATTTTTTATCTTGTTGCTGAAAATACTTTAAGTAAAGTACTCTTGGGAAGCAGACGAGAATTGACAAGCAAACCTTACATGGCAACAACAAAATCCTCTCTAAGTATAGCTAAGATATCCTCAGAAAAGTAAGTTTTAACTGATTTTGTTTTCTACTTTAGGCCTAAATTAGGAAAAAATTAAATCATTTTTAAAATGTTACAAAATGAATAACTTTTTTTAGGTGTTTCATCACTTCATGGATTCATAAATATCTGCAAATATCTAGATATCTCTTAATATTCCTTTAAAATTGCATAAACATCTATAAAATTATTTTTAAAACTATCTTTGTTTTCAAGACTGTAAGACCATTTAAGATGTTTAAGCTAAGTAGTTAACTTGTCTTCAGACCTGGTAGCTTACAATAATCATCCTAGTTAAATATTTCAAGGATCTGATTTTGTCAGAGCAGATTCTTCCTCCCCAAATAACAAATTGTAATCCCTCTGCACCTCAGTAGTTAGTCGTTTGAGTTCCTGTGGCCAATTTGGTGATAAAATTCTCTCAGTTTAGCTAGTCTAGTTGTCAGGTAACAGGCATACATGGGCTGTCTCCAGACTTGTCTTAATGAGCAGAATGGATAGAACTTGTCAGAACTTTCCACTTAACCAACACATTGAAAACCAAGACTTGCCTCTATGTACAGTGAGGCATGAAAATAGGACTTTCTTCTTCTTCTTCTTCCTCTTCCTCTTCCTCTTCCTCTTCCTCCTCCTCCTCTTCTTCTTCCTAGGCATTGGGGTTAAGTGACTTGCCCAGGGTCACACAGCTAGTAAGTGTTATGTGTCTGAGCACGGATTTGAACTCAGGTCCTCCTGAATCCAGGGCTGATGCTCTATCCACTGCGCCACCTAGCTGCCCCCAGGACTTTATTCTAAATGATATCCAATAAAATACTTCCCTCATTATCTTCTATACACTATACCCACAAAGGTTACCATATGATAGAAAGTAAAAATATATATCTTTCTACAACTTTTGGGTATAGTGAAGTAAAGGCTAGAAAGAAGAATCAAGACTATCTTCTTTCCCATCCTCCACTCCCCAGGACTAGAGGTGATTACAAAAAAATAAGCTACTACCAAAAAAAAAATGCCTAGGCAAAGGAGAAAGAATCCAACCATAGAGAGTTACTATGGGATTAGAGAAGACCAGGGTTCATCTTCAGAAGAGGATAATAAAGCAGAGAAATCTTCTTCTACCCCAAAAGTAATGTCAAATGGTCACTTGTCCAAAAAGATTTCATAGAAGAACTTAAAAAAGACTTTAAAAATCAAATGGGAGAGACTGAGGAAAAATTTTTTAAAAATAAGAATAATCCAAGAAAAAGAAGAAGATTATAAAAAGAAAGTCAATCAATTAGAAAAGGAGATCCAGAACCTTAAGAAAGAAAATGACTCCTTTAAAATCAGAATTGGGCAAGGGGAAGCCATCAAAGTCATAAGAGACCAAGAAATAATAAGACAAAATATAAGGAATGAAAAAATAGAAGAGAAGGTGAAACATCTCATAAGAAAAACAACTGATCTGAAGAACACAACAAGAAGAGAATACAAAAATAATTGGACTACCTGAAAGCTATGATAAAAAGAAAAAAAGAATCTTGATACAATAATACAAGAAATAATGAAAGAAAATTGTCCTGAAATGTTACAAGAAGGGAAAGTAGAAATAGAAAAAATCCACCAATCACCACCTGAAAGAGATACTACGAGGAAAATCCACAGGAATATTATAGTCAAATTCCAAAACACCTCAGCTCAAGGATAAAATATTACAAGCAAACTTACATATGGCAGTGCCACAGTTAGAATCACACAAGACTAGCAGTGGCAACACTAAAAGATCACAGGTCTTGGAATACCATACATAGAAGAACAAAAGAACTGGGCTTCTGGCCAAAAATCTCATACCCAGCAAAGCTAAACATAATCTTGAATGAAAAAAAATGGATATTTAATGAATTGGCAGACTTTTAGAGCTTTATTAAAAAAAAAAGTATGACCTTAATAGAAGATCTGACATACAAAAGCCAAGAGAAATATAAGATATGTACCAAAGACTAATTGCAAGAAACTCAATAAGGACAGACTGTCTACTTTTTATGTATGTAAAATATAAAACATATGTCTAAGATTGTTATTGGGTAGTTCATAAGAAAGATCGGGTAGCCCTAAGCATGATATGAATTCAAAAAGTAAAACCATTCAGGAATGGCTAAAAAGAGTAATTATCTTATACAAATGAGGTACAAGAGGAAAAACTGACACAGAGGAATTAGAGGGGGGAGGAGAGCTGGTAGTTCTGGAAACTTAGTTTCATCAGGAAAGGGTTCAAGAGGGAACAATGCGTGCACATTCAGAAGAGTATAAAAGGCTTCTAAATTTAGAAAGAAATAAAACAAGGGGATAGGGAGGGAGAAGAGACTAAGGGAGGTGTCTTTAGAGGGGAAGGTGAGAGAATAGATTAAAGGGGGATAGAGAATGATGTTTAGACTAGTGGGAATGGGAGGATAAGGGAGGGATAGTTGGAGAGAGGGGGTAGGTTAAGTAATAACAGGGCAAGATAGTGGGCAGAAGTAAAGTAGAAGAGTTAGGAGGAATAGGAAATAAGCAATACACACAAGTATACAAAACAAAGATTAGGAGTAGAATCTCTTAGGGAAAGTATATGTTGATGTGTATATATATGTGTCTATATCAATATTTGTATATAAATATATCTATGCTTAATTATGGGGGGAGGGAGAGGGAAGAAGAGAGGAAAAAGAACAAAGTAAAAAGTGTATAGCAGAGAACAAAAGAAAACCTACAAGGAAGCAAAGAAAAGATGAACAACTTTTAATACAAGGTATAGTATTTAATATATAGGCTTTCTTGAAATGGAAATTTATTACTATATATTTTGAATCCTCTCTTAGGTTCTGCTGTGCACTTGATATTTTTTTCTTATTTTATATTTAAGTTTTAATGTTTAAGTTTATAATATGTTTCTTTTTTACTACGTTTTCAAGTTTTAGTATTCAGGACTAAAATTTAAAAAATAATCTACACACACACACACACACACACACACACACACACACAAGTATCTACTTTCTCTTTTCTTCTCCTAAGAGAGGATTGATCTTATGGTAGATCATTTACTCACCTCCTGCTTACCTCTTGCCTAAGGTATTTTCCTTTATTTTAAAATTTTACTTTGTTACTTAAGCTAACAAATGCTCAACTATTTGTATTCTATTTGAGATAACTGTTCTAGAGAAATGAAATGTTTGGTTCAGACTGAACCTGAGGGCTTGGGAGCTTCTCTGAAACAGTTGGACAAAGTGGAAGAGCAGTATTGAATGGTTAGGAGCCTGGCAATTCAGGATTTTTAGAATTCTCTCTAAATAAAATTGTGAACTGGTGAGAACAGCAGGCTTTAAGAAAACAAAGGTAGACATTTTCCCTCCTTGCTGTCTTTTCACCAGCAGCAGCCCTTTGCCATATCAGGCTTTGAAAAGAAAAGCCATACCTTGAAAAGGTGGAGAATGAGTTCCTTGGAAAGGACCAGCCAAACTCCTAAAGAGGAGTGACTTGTTAGGGAAGCTCCAACCACATAAAGAGGAGGGAGTGAGTTGGTTTTTGTTGTTACTGTCCTCTCATTTTTTCAGTCTTACCAGATTCTTCGTGACCCCATTTGGGGTTTTCTTGGCAAACATACTGGAGTAGTTTGCTATTTCCTTCTCCAGCTCCTTTTACAAATGAGGAAACTGAGGCAAACAAGTGACTTGCCCAGGGTCACAGCTAGTAAGTGTCTGTGGTCAGATATGACCTCAGCTTCTCCTGACTCCAGGCCCAGCACTCCATCCACTGCACCACCTAGCTGCCCCTGTGAGTTGCATTATGATGCTCAATAGATCTGCTTGCTCAGTAGATAACTGATATCTTTACTGCCTTCCTTCCCAACTCTATTTAATGCCTACATTTGTCTAGGGTGATTTAGGTAATGGTATTACCTTTAAGTAGGACTAGAATGGCACCACTTACTTAGTTGGAAATCAATAGATGTTTGTTGTGGTAGAGGATGAACTTATAGATGTACCCGAGAGTCCATAGTTTTGTAAGGTCCTACTGAAGAGAACCTATGGAAATAGGGAGATAAAAGATACATATTAAATAACTCTTGAGCTGATGATTTGTTCAGTCTCATTGAATTAATTCTTAGTGGTTCCAAATAATAAACTTCCAAATTCATATTGAGACCATAATGATGTTGGCCTGTTGGATGTTTTTTCATAGAACTGTTGAAGGCATTACCACATTTCCCCAGCTGTACTGGTCTGATTCTATTTTGTATAAATAGAACTCAGAGAATTCATTTAACATTTATTTATTTATTTATTTATTTATTTATTTAGCCATTCATTTATTTATTTGCTTATTTGTTTGTTTATTGAACAAATATGTTTTAAGCAACTGTACTGTGCTAAGGATGAGGTACAAAGATGATATATATTTATATTTAATCTTTATATAGAGTGCCTAAAGAGTCTACAATATTCTTTGGAAAATAAAGATATGTACATAGATAAATGCTTTGGTGATGTTATCAAAGTCCTTACTCTCTCCACTGGTATCATACTTGCCCCAGATAAATATAATGCCAGTTAGAAGAAGAGTAGAAAGAGTTTTGAGATCAGATGAAGGAGAAACCAGGCTGAGCTGGAAGAATCAATACCAGATTCATGGAAGAGGCATAATTTAGTCTATATCTTCAAAGATAGGCAGGATGTCAACAAGGGAAATGGGGATGGGAGATTCTAGGGGCAGAGAATAGTGTGAGCCAAAGGCGCCCAAGTGGGATAGTGTATAAGAGAGGTTTGGAGAACAGCAAATAGTGAAGTTTATCAAGAGTTCAGAATGTGTGAGTATGTGAACCAGTAGCTATTAAGGGAGCTATGTTGCTGTTTCAGTCATGTCTGACTGTTTGTGACCCCATTTGTGATTTTCTTGGCAAAGATATCTGGAGTGGTTTGCCATTTCCTTCTCTGATTCATTTTACAGATGAAGAAACTGAGGCAAACAGGGTTAAGTGACTTGTTCAGGGTCACATGGGTAGTAAGTGTCTGAGGCTGGATTTGAACTCAGGTCTTCTTGACTCTAGGACAGGCACTAACATGTTACATCCAGATTGTAGAAGGCCTGGAATGCCAGGCTAAGGAGATTGAATTTTATTCCATAGATAATGGAAAGTTACCCAAGTTCTACCACACTGGAGTGATACTGCTGGACTTTTGCTTTAGTAAGATTAATTTCATGACAGTGGTTTGGGAGAGGAAAGCAACTGGAAGAAGGAAGACTTATTACAAAGTCATTGCATGTGAGAAGTGTTTATTGCAGAGACAAAATTCACAGGACTTAACAGTTATTTGAATGGATGGAGGGAGGTAGAGAGAAAAATTTTTAATGGCTCTGAAGTTAGGAGGATGGGTGACTGGGAGAATGGTGAAACCATTGCCAAAAATTAGAAAGTCGGGAAATAGTGCAGATTTAAGGAGAGAGGTGATTTATTTCAATTTTAGACACGTTTAATGTTTAGACATTTGAGGTACTGATGGGAAATCCAAGTAGAAGCCCAGCAGTCAGTTGAAAATTTGAGTCTGGAGTTGGGGAGAGGGGTCAGAGCCAGAGGTATAAACTTGGCAGGCAATCAATAAATTAAGCACCTACTATTAGACATTAATTGTGGTAGACACTGAAGATATATAAAGAATGAAACATCTCTATTTGCAAGGAGCTTACATTCTAAGGGGCACTGATACAGAATTAATTAATAGCTGAAGCTGTAAGAATAGATGGCATCACTATTAGAGAGGTATGAAGGGAATAACTTGTATCAGAGCCTTCTGAATTGGGAAAAATCATACGGGGGCCCATTTTGTCTATGATTAGATGATGTACCATATGAGATAGAGATTTTCACCTAGTAATTCTATCTAGCAAATTCCAAGGCTCTCATTTCACATTTTGGATAGTAGAATTTTTTTGTTTTATTTTTTAAAAAATCTGTTTTAATGATACCGTTTGCTTTTTCTCATCATAAGTTATTTCTGGATACACCATTCCTACTTTTCTGCCAGACAGTTGGAATTTGACAGTGATAGCAATTGAATATTGAGTGATTAACCAACTTCTAATCCTGTCAGTTTCTTCATAGATGATTTCTTTCATGATAGCAACACAAATGGCAGATATAAAATGTCTGCATAATTATCTTTATTGTGCATATTTAAGTTGATAAACAGTGCCTCTATTTTAGGAGCATATCCATTAGAAAAATATATAGAAACAGATAGAAGCCTATGTGGTTATTGTAGCAAACTTTTCATTTCTAAGTTTTTCAATTCAAGTCACTGGTTAAATAAGTGTTAGTGCTATAGATTGGTGTATCAAATGTAAAGATGTAGAACTATGAAAAAATTTAAAATATTTATGTGATATTTTTCTGTGAAACATACATGTAGCATTTGTCTTTGTTTTTAATCTTGAAAAAGAAATTTGATTAATGTAAAGCATTATGAAATTGATTTTTATTTTACCAGTCACATTGGATGCCTATCTTTCCTGAATAATATATATCACATGAGTTTCTCTCATTACTGCCAGATTTAATACCCATTAACATCATTAAATATTTTCAGAACTAAGACCTAAAAATGAAGGTTAGACATTTATTACTTGAGCTTCTTATTTTAAAAACAAGATTTTTTATATTATCCTCAGGTAGTAGAAATACTATTTAACTCTGTTCACAAGTACAGGGTGTCCCAAAACTCTTAGTGCAGTTTTAGATCCTAAAGATCAAAACTGCACTAAGACTTTTGGGACACTCTGTATGTCATTTAGCAGATGATTTATAAATTGTAAAAGAAATATTGGCTTAAGACCAATATGTCCATTTTCTTCACTTCAACCACAACTTACTCTTCCAAATAAGGATGGCACCTGAAGGAGCTAGCATGCCACACTATGGAACTTTCAAAAATTTCTAGAAATGCTGTCACAGTGACAAAAAATGATATAGAAATGTGATTTTTGTCTTTAGTGATTAGTTTGGTGCTATTATAATATAAACACCAAGTACTTGGAAAAAAATCATGGACTTTAACAAAAAAAAGACAAGAAAAATGTTAATAACTTCTGACCTGTGTGCCCTGTTTTCCAGTGCTACAAAATCTTTATAATACTAACCTACATATGTATATCAAAGTCATCCTTATTTAAAGATGTGAAAAGTGAAGAGGCAGACTTTCATAAGTGATACTCTCCAGTAGACCATATCTTTACAATCACACAATTAATTGACTGAAGGGATGAGGGTGGGAGGGGGGAGGTGAAGGAACAAACATTTATTGAGCTCCTACTATGTGCCAGGTACTATGCTAAGGACTTTACAAACATTTTCTCACTTGATCCTCCCAGCAAACCTGTGAGCCAAGGACTATTATTATCCCTATTCTATGTAAATTGAGTAAACTGAGACAGACAGAGGTTAGTGACCTGCCCAGGGTCACACACTGGTAAGTGTCTAAAGCCAGATGTGAACTCGGGTCTTCTATTGTCTGTACCGTCTGGCTGCCATGATAATACAAGATCTCCTTGTGCTTCTTGTTTTTTGATTATAGGAAGGTATTTGATTTGGTGGAAAGAAGTACCACCTGAAAATATCTTCTCAAACAAGGTGTTTCCCAAGCATCACCCATGACTCCTTGACCTGCTGCATCAGGGATAGCACTTTTTTTAATTCAGTGATCCTCTGATTCTTAATACCCAGGGTGACATGTAAAACAGCTGTGCTCACTGGAGTTATTTTTGACTGTCATGGTGACTGTCCAGCACAAAGTCCAAATAGAAGAGATGAATGTTCTCTCTATATAGATGGATGTTCTTGCTTGTGGATTATATTGTGTTGATTACTACAAGCCCCAGAACACTGCAGAGCCTTCTAAGCGATAACCATAGTCAGTCAAGAGCATTCTGCCTCAGTTTTCGCCATACAGGAAAAGCCAAGGGGATAAAGAATTGCTGTTGCCTATACTGTGATGTGCAGTTTAATGGACATGCTGAAAATTCACCCTTTAGAAGAAGCATCTTGAGCAGAATCTGCCCAGAGATAATGTGCTGGGCTTGGAGTCAAATGTAAGGAGAGCTGGCTGGATTATTTTTGGAAAATCACAGAGTTTTTTATGACTTTGCAAATGAAAGGTTGTTCTTTTTAACATCAGGCCGTGGAGTTCCACAGTCTCTTCAGAACTCAAGTTTCGGGTCGCCCATAGAGTCACGGAGGGCTATGGAGACGGGCATGAGTAAGCTACAGCACTTTACTGATGGAGAATCACACTGGAGAAGTAGTTTAAAAAATATATGTATGAGAGATTGTGACCAGAAAATAGGGTGGATCACTTCATGCGGCGGGAGGGAGGGATAGCCAATAGATAGCCCATGTGCCTCCAATTTCATTCATAGACTATCAAGCAAGCTGGAGGAAGGCAGACCGTCAGATGCACTGAGTGGACCTTCTGTAGAGGACGTATGGCAAGTCGTACAAGGGAGTCACATGGGCTGAGTAGATACTGGATGGGTTGTAGTTGGAGAGGTAGTAGTCCCATCAATGAGATCATTGATCCATCAAAGTATTATTATGAGAATATTGTATTTGTATTTTTCTACCTATCATTAAAAAAACCACTGCCCATGTTAAGTCCTTATAAAAGAAACACAAAATATTCTGTTAATCATCATTTACTTTAATATTTAGGAAGAAAATTTCCTCGAAGAGTAGTGAAAATAAGGATTTCTTTACAAATTCAGACAATAAGTTGTGTTCATCTTCCTTCTTACGAGAAAAAACAGGTAACGGTTTTCATTCAATTACAGATGTGTCTAAATTAATTATCTGTCTTCATATAAATCTGTGAATGAAGGCTTACTTGTCTTAATAGATAGTGTTTGGTATAATCACTAATTAAAAGTAGGTCTCATATTTGTCTTATGAAATTTGAATAATATAGTATTTATATTTTTGCTAAGAAATCTACATACATTATCTCATTTGATGTTCACAACAGTCCCATGAATTAAATACAGATGTTATTATCCCAATGGTGGTAGAGTAGCATGAGTTCTTCTGTATGGTGCTCCTGGTGTGAAAACTCCCTCCACCAAGGCAGATCCATATTACAGATGAGAAAACTGATGCTCATAGAGGACAAGAAACTTATTTCTTGCTGTACATCTAGTAAATATTGGAGGAATTTGAGAACAGTTCGATCAAATTCCAAATTCTATGTCCAGAACTCTTTCCAGGATGCATCTTGCCTTATTGTCTTTGCCATTCATTATATAGTAGATACTTGGCTTTAGGGCTTGTCACTGTATCTTTACCTAGAGAACACACAAATTCTAGGCCCTTTAGGTCTAATTTTAAGTAATAACTGGTTCCTCTGGCTATTTTAGGGTAAGGTAACACACCCCCAACTAATTCTTTTTTATAGCAACAACAATGTATGTGTTTTCCAAATTTTAAATTGCTATGTATCAGCTACTGTGATGATAATGATGATGATGATAAAACATAGTTCTGTTTTGTGTAAAAGAAATTTTATTTCCTGAATTGTGTATCTGAACATCTTGGATATATGTCATACACACATGTAGAACATATCTAAATATTTAGGCTAGTTTCTGTGTGTATGTGTGTATGTATGAATTTTCAGAAACCAGCCTATATCCTTGGGCCTATTGTCTAATGGCAGATGAGCCCTGTCCATCTGCTTGTTCCTTAAGGATACAAATACTTGACATTTACTACTGTCATCCATCTTTTAAATTATCCCAATTTTAAATTCCCCCTGAAAGTTCTGGATGTGTTGCTCCTGCTCTCACATCAGCTGCTTCTCATTATTGCAAGTCAGGAAAGGCCTTGGCTCTGAACTCTAAGTAGAAGCACTTTGCTTTGCTCCTAGTGAGAGGAGTCTAGCTTTAAAATTCTGCGATTCTTTGATTTCTAGTGAAAACACCACATCTTCTCATTTGGGATTGGGACTGGTGGGCCTGAATGGGCATCTACTCTTCCCTTCATCCTGTCACTAATGTGTCCCCCCTGCTCCTTGGCCTACTGATCTCCGCTGTCATTCGCATCTTCATTTTGTTGTAAAACAAAGCAGCCTACTTAACCCTACTTTATTTCCTATCTAACTCAGCCCTGTTCACTCTCAGCATTTGGTTTCACCTGCACTCTTGAAACAATGTGGTCGAGTACTTATCTTGTGATCAAGGAAGACCTGGGTTCAAATCCTGCCATCCAACAGATACTGTGTGGCCATAGAAAGTCACTTAACTTCTGAGCCTGAGACGTATTATAAAGACCAAATAAGATGATGTAATGAAGGTATGTAATATACAGAATGCCCCAAAAATCTTAGTGCAGTTTTAAGTTTTAATCACTGTACTAAGACTTTTGGGACACCCTGTGTGTAGAAAGAATTTTATAAGTGAATGCTAACTACTACTATTACTAGTAGAATTAGAATTATCCAATATAATATAAACTTCTTGAAGTCAGGGGCTATTTTGTTGTCTTTATATGCCCAGCATCTAACACATGCTTGTACATAGATGATTAATAAATGCTTGTTGAATTCCTTTACTACTTTATAGAATTTGTTGAGGTTCCTTCATTTTTCCTTCTTTCTACCTCAAAATATTATTGTCTATGCCTACATTTTCTCTCTTTTTTATTTTTAAATCTCATTTATTATATTCTAAACTTAAGAAATAAAACAGGCATTTCCATGACATAGTCGAACAGAAAGGTGATTGTACATGAAACTGCAAGTCTATTACATACAACTATTCCTTTTAAATATACAAAAATAAAGTTATCATGTAACTTTCTTTTTTTTCTTTTTTCTTCCTTATCCCTCTCCACCCTAGAAATGACTACCATTAGACACAGACACAGGCACACACAGACACACACACACACACACACACACACACACACACACACAAAATCATTCTATATATGCTGCTATTTATCAGTTCTTTCTCTGGATGCAGATAGCATCTTCTTTCATACGTCCTTTGTAGTTAATTCGGGTATTTATAACAGTCAAAATGACTTAGTGACTCAATGTTGTTCTTAAAACAATATTGCTATTACTATATACAGTGTTCTCTTGGTCCTGCTCATTTCATTCTTCGTTATTTTGTGCAAGTCAATTCATATTTTTCCAAGATCATTGAGCTTATCATTTTGTATAGCAAGTAGTTGTCCAGCACAATCATATACTACAACTTATTCAGCCATTCCCCAACTGATGGGCATCCCTGAATTTTCCAGAGCTTTGCCACCACAAAGAGAGCTGCTATAGATATTTTAGAACATATAGGTTCTTTTCCTTTTGCCCTAATCATCTAGAGAAACAGACCTCATAGTGGTATTTCTGGGTCAAAGGGTATATGCAGTTTAATAACTCTTTGGGCATAATTCCAGATTGTTCTCCAAAATTATTGAATCAGTTCATACTTCCGCCAACAGGAAATCAGTATCCCAAATTTTCCACGTCCCCTCCAACGTTTGTTATCTTAGCCAATCTGGTAAGTGTAAATAATATCTCAAGGTGGTTCTAATTTGCATTTTGCTAATCAATAATGATTTAGAGTATTTTTTCATATGACTATAAATTGTTTCCTATTAATGTCCTTTGACCATTTATCAATTCAGAAATGACTTGTATTCTTGTAGTTTTGACAAAGTTCTTTATGTACTTGAGATATGAGACCTTTATCTGAAAAACTGTCTACAAAAATTTTTGTCCCAAATTTTCTGCTTCTGATCTTGGTAATATTTGTTTTATTTGTACAAAACCTTTTTAATTTCATGTAGTGGAAATTATCCATTTTATAGCTCTCACTGCTCTCTGTCTCTTGTTTATTCATAAATTGTTCATGTATCCATAAATCTGATGGGTAATATGTTTCATGTCCTTCAAATTTTTTTGTAATATATTCCTTTATATCTTGGTCATGTATCCATTTTGACCTTATCTTGGTAAATAGCGTAAGATATTGATCTATGCCCAATTTCTGCCAGACAGCTTTCTAGTTCTCCCAAAAATTTTTTTTTTACCAAATAATGAATTCTTGTCCCAAAAACTTAAGTCTTTATACTTGTCAAATACAAGGTTACTATATTTATTTGGTGTTATAAATTGTATGTCTACTCTGTTCCACTGATCTACATTTCAGTTTCTTAGCCAGTACTAGATAGTTTTGATAATTACTGCCATATAATATAGTTTAAGATTTGGTAGTGTTAAACCTCCTTCCTTTACCTTTTTTTCATTAGTTACTTTGATATTGTTGACTTTTTGTTCTTCCTATTGAATTTTGTTACTGGTTTTTCTAATTCGGTAAAATAATTTTTTGGTAATTTAGTTATGATGGCATTAAATATGTAAATTAGGTAAATTTGACATTTTTTTACATTGGCCCTGCCTACCCATGAACAATGAATATTTCTCCAATTATTTAAATCTTATTTTATTTTTATAGGAAGTTTTTTTTTTTTATAATTTTGTTCATACAGTTCCTGGGTTTGTTTGGCAGGTATATTCTCAAGTATTTCATACTGTCTAGAGTTATTTTAAATGGGTGTACCTTACTATCTCTTCTTACAGGGTTTTGTTTATGATATACAGGAATTATATGCCCTTCTTTTCTCTCTCCCTTCTGTCTGATAGGAGGAAGTGTGCTAGGAGATTGAGAATTTGGAACTAGAAAAACAAAATGAATTTTAAAAAAGAATGTGGGTATAGAGTTTAACATGGGAAAGACAGAGGTCTATTTCTTCCTGTAAGAAAGGACAAGAGAAAGAGCAGGGGATATAAGACACAGAGGAACAGTGAAGGTGGTGCTCAAGCAGTAGCACCTTCAGTCTCTTAGGGATATCGGATCCAGGCTGTGTGCTAAGAATGGGAGGGGGAAAGGATCATCGATGTTAGACATTTTAATGTGATGTGATGAATAAGGGGGATATTATCCATTTACTTCTACAGATCTGTCCCACTTTTGTCAGGGGTATCTCTCTGGGGAGAGAAATATGGAAGAAGTGTTTGTCATTCTGACATGTCATGTAATGAAAAGGGATGAGAAACAATGTCCTACATAATTATTGTGAAGAGGAATTCACTGTGTAGTCAATGGTGCCCTAGTGTCATGAATGAGTGTAATAATGTACTCTCCTAAATGCCGGATTATCTAACTTACCTTGAGATCATGATTTGGGCAGTGGGAAGAACATAATCCACTAGGTGTAGGGGGAAATGTAATTAATTACTAATATTGAAAAACCAGTCAAAGAGGGGATTCCATTATATCTAATCCATATATTTGTTTTTAGGTTTTGGGAGTAGAGGGAGAAGATTAGGTAAACTAGTCAAAGAAATAGTAAAAATTTAAATTTAATAGCTGTTATTTATTTTTTATTTAAAAAGATTCTGTTTGAAAGTACTATTAGGTAGAAGGATTTTTTTTCTGATCTGAGCAACAGATTTAAAAATATACATGCTTCTAAGGACAAAAAAATATATATATGGTACTTATTCATTAGCCTGTATATGAAATTAAGCAGCTTCCTCCATCAGAGTGGCTAACTGATTTTAGATATGTCTAGGTACAAGAAAATAAGGAAAAAAGGAAAAGGAAAAAAAGGAAATGAATATAATGTCAATTTCATATTGAATCTTTATAATATTGAAATTAAAGTGTATAATAATTAAAGATAAGTACACTTTGATCCATGTACACAGCAAAGAATGGGTCAGGAACCAGACTAACCTCTCTGCTCC